ATAGTCATATAATAGTCATGACCGGTATATAAATGTTGTGTGCTATTTATAATAGTAATGTACGGTATATAATAGTTATATACGGTATATAATAGCCATGTACAGCAAATAATAGTCATATAGTAGTCATGTACAGTATATAATATTCATATAAGGTATAAAATAGTCATATTGTAGTCATGAACCGTATATAATAGTCATGTGCAGTATATAATAGTTAGGCGCAGTATATAATAGCCATGTACAGTATATAATAGTCATATAGAGTATATAATAGTCATATGGTAGTCATGAAACGTATATAATAGTCATGCACAGTATATAATAGTAATGTACTGTATATAATAGTCATGCACAGTATATAATAGTCATGCACGTATATAATAGTCGTATGTTTGTCACGAACCGTATATAATGACAATGCACAGTATATAATAGTCATGTACGTATATAATAGTCATAAAGTAGTCATGCACTGTATATAATAGTCATGTGCTGTATATAATATTCATATAATAGTCATGTCCGGTATATAATTGTCCTGCACAGTATATAATAGTCATGTACAGTATATAATAGCCACATACAGTATATAATGGCCATGTACAGTATTTAATAGTCATATAGTATTAATGTGCAGTATATAATAGTCATGTACAATATATAATAGTCATGTACAGTATATAATAGCCAGGTTCAGTATATAATAGTCATATAGTAGTCATGAACGGTATATAATAGACATGTACAGTATATAATAGTCGTGTACAGTATATAAGTCATGTATTGTATATAATAGTCATATAGTAGTCATGTACAGGATATAATAGTCATGTGCAGCATATAAGAGGCATTTACAGTATATAATAGTCATATAGTAGTCATGATCAGTATATAATAGTCATGTACGGTATAGAATAGTCATGTACGGTGTATAATTTAATGTACAGTATATAATAGCTGTATATTCCTGAGTGGCGCAGTGGTCTAAGGCACTGCATCGCAGTGCTAACTGTGCCACTAGAGATCCTGGTTCGAATCCAGGCTCTGTCGCAGCCGGCCGCGACCGGGAGACTCATGGGCGGCGCACAATTGGCCCAGCGTCGTCCAGGGTAGGGGAGGGAATGGCCAGCAGGGATGTAGCTCAGTTGATAGAGCATGGCGTTTGCAACGCCAGGGTTGTGGGTTTGATTCCCACGGGGGGCCAGTATAAACAAAAAAACTAAACAAAAATGTATTCACTAACTGTAAGTCGCTCTGGATAAGAGCGTCTGATAAATGACTAAAATGTAAATGTAATGTAAATGTATAGTAGTAATGCACAGTATATAATAGTCCTGAATGGTATATAATAGTCATATAGCAGTCATGTACAGTATATAATAGTCATGTATGGTCATGCAATAGTCATATAATAGTCATGCACGGTATATAATAGTAATACACTGCATATAATAGTAATGTATGGTATATAATAGTGATATAGTAATCATATATTTTTTTTTTTTTTTTTTCACCTTTATTTAACTAGGTAAGCCAGTTGAGAACAAGTTCTCATTTACAACTGCGACCTGGCCAAGATAAAGCAAAGCAGTGCGATAAAAACAACAACACAGAGTTACATATGGGGTAAAAAAAACATAAAGTCAAAAAATACAACAGAAAATATATATACAGTGTGTGCAAATGTAGCAAGTTATGGAGGTAAGGCAATAAATAGGCTATAGTGCAAAAATAATTACAATTAGTATTAACACTGGAATGCTAGATGTGCAAGAGATTATGTGCAAATAGAGATACTGGGGTGCAAAAGAGCAAAATAAATAACAATATAGGGATGAGGTAGTTGGGTGGGCTAATTTCAGATGGGCTGTGTACATGTGCAGTGATCGGTAAGGTGCTCTGACAACTGATGCTTAAAGTTAGTGAGGGAGATAAGAGTCTCCAGCTTCAGAGATTTTTGCAATTCGTTCCAGTCATTGGCAGCAGAGAACTGGAAGGAATGGCGGCCAAAGGAGGTGTTGGCTTTGGGAATGACCAGTGAGATATACCTGCTGGAGCGCAGACTACGGGTGGGTGCTGCTATGGTGACCAATGAGCTAAGATAAGGCGGGGATTTGCCTAGCAGTGATTTATAGATGGCCTGGAGCCAGTGGGTTTGACGACGAACATGTAGTGAGGACCAGCCAACAAGAGCGTACAGGTCACAGTGGTGGGTAGTGTATGGGGCTTTGGAGACAAAACGGATGGCACTGTGATAGACTACATCCAATTTGCTGAGTAGAGTGTTGGAGGCTATTTTGTAAATGACATCGCCGAAGTCAAGGATCTGTAGGATAGTCAGTTTTACGAGGGCATGTTTGGCAGCATGAGTGAAGGTACAGTATATAATAGTTTTGTACAGTATATAACAGTCATCTAGTAGTCATGAAAAGTATATAATAGTAATGTGCTGTACATAATAGTCATGCACGGTATATAATAGCCATGCACAGTATATAATAGTCATATAGTAGATAATAGTCATATTGTAGTAATGTACAGTATATAATAGTAATGCACAGTATAAAATAGTCGTGTGTTGTATATAATAGTAATGAACGGTATAAAATAGTAATGTACGGTATATAATAGTCATATAGTAGTCATTAACAGTATATAATAATCATGTACAGTATGTAATAGTCATATACGGTATATAATAGTCATATAGTAGTCATGTACGTATATGATAGTCATGTACGGTATATAATAATCATATAATAGTCATGTCCGGTATATAATAGTCATGCACAGTATATAATAGTCATGTATAGTATATAATAGTCATATGCAGTATATAACAGCCATGTACAGTATATAATAGTTATATAGTATTCATGTACAGTATATAATAGTCATGTACAATATATAATAGTCATGTACAGTATATAATAGCCATGTACAGTATATAATAGTCATATATCAGTCATGAACGGTATATAATAGTCATGTACAGTATATAATAGTCATGCACAGTATATAATAGTCATGTATGGTATATAATAGTCCTACAGTAGTCATGCACAGTATATAATAGTCACATATGGCATATAATAGTCATATAGCAGTCATGAACAGTATATAATAGTAATGTACTGTGTATAATAGTCATGTGTGATATATAAATGTCATGTACAGTGTATATAATAGTCATATAGTAGTCATGTACAGTATATAACAGTCATGTATATTATATAATGGTCATATAATAGTCAGGTACAGTACATAATAGTCATATATGGTATTTAATAGTCATGTAGTAGTCATGTACAGTATATAATAGTAATGTACAGTATACAATCTCACATGTGAGAAACATACTAAAAGCATATGGTACAACCTCGCAGGTAAATCTTGTACGTATCAAAGTCCCCAAATAAGGTATAACTGCCCTTTTTTGATTCCAGCCGTACATGCTTGTCTTTCCTCAGAGGTTGGTTTGAGCTAGCAGAGCAGCACAGCTCCTAAATACAGTCCAGTATTCAGTGCTCACAGAACTGATCCTTTCATTAGGAGCAGGCTGCACCAAGCCTATAAAAGAGCTAATTGTGTGGTGAGTTAACAGAGAGACACACATACAGACACACTAGCTAACACACTAACTACATGTACAAACACACGTGGATACTAGCGTCCATCGTGCACATCACACACAGGCATGGAAACATAGGCCTACAGACAAGCAGTCTTTTTCTGTCTCTATCCATACAGTCTTAATCTGATTAAGGAAATGTGCTTGTGAATGAGAAAGGGAGAGAACAGAAAGATCGGAGGGAGGAGAGTTTGTGTGGGTGAGTAAATACCCTATTTTCTTGCTTTTCTTGTTTTTGGTTTCTACTTCCACTGATCCTGTTCTTCCACAGTGCGAGGACAGGACAGACAGACATGTCCACAAACAGCTTCAAACCTTACTGTTTCCAGAATAGCCCCCATAGTGTCACACTGTCACCACTGACAACAATGTTCGAGAGGATCAAAACCGCAATGTATCGTAGGTAAATTGTGAGTGGCTGACTGATCTACAAATAATAATGAGTGGTTATTTATGATGCAAGGTGATTTGTAGATCAGTCAGTCGGCAGTCGTTTTGATGCTCTGGAACACGGCTGTTGTTATTCAGCAGTTAAAGGGGCTGGGAAATGCTTTGCTTGGCAATGTCGTCAGGTAGAAACCCACACTTTCAGGTCATATCAAAATAAACATTTGAAAATTGTGTGGCATGTTTTCTAATCTGAGTTAGATATTGAAACTATTTTCCTTCCCTATGTCCTCATGCAATAGACTTCAGGTTTTATCCCTCCTCGTGCCCTCGCAGGTTCGGAAAACGTTTATCCTCTGTGCAAATAAGACCTCACAGAATTATACTACAGCAGGATGGAGAGATTTACCACAAAGTGAAGCTCTTCAGGCTATCTCACATACCAAGGCAAATATGTCTAGAGGAAAGAGATTGAGGAAATGTATAATGATGACTATGGGATGTAATTGATGGTGATATACTCAAAAACCTTTAACACCAACTGAGTTATAACTCTCTCTCTCTCCATCTCTCTCTCTCTTTCCCTTCTACTCTCCCCCCCCCCCCCCCTCTCTCTCGCTCTTTCCCTCCTACTCTCTCTCTCTCTCTCTCTCTCTCTCTCTCTCTCCAGAAGGTGACTCATGGAAGAAGTACACATCTAGGAAGAACTGCCAGTGAACATAGTTGTGAATTCACCTTATTCTAGAGAATGTGGTTTCCCCTCTCTGCAGTTTACTCAATTCCGACCATGACAAATCATGTGTAATCATCTCTAAACATGAGACCAGTGGAACATAAGACAATTCACAGACAGACAGACATTCTCTCAGGAGTCTGTAATGGAACCTCAGCATCAGACAGGAAGGAAAGAACAGGGTGAACAGAGAAAGTAGTGGGACCACGTGTGATGTGAGTCACTGATGAATGGCGTCTGCTACCAATGACTGGATCAGAAATAGAAATAGGCAGATTCTGGACCTCGTTGAGCATTCCTGGGCCCCATCCAGGCGAGAAGGAGGCATGGCCAATGGGCCTCACCCTTGACCACAGACATACGGATGAAGAACCCAGACGTTGGTATGAGCAATGTACAATGAGCCAAATAATGACCCAAATGATCTTCTCTGGTTAGTCAGGCATTAATAACAATCACACATACAATCACATTCTAGTGGACGGTGAGACTGTATTCACCGCCGGAGGGTAAGGTGTGTCCAGGTGTGTGTGTGTGTATCCCTGGATCCTCTGGGTGATAGCGGGATGCTGCGGAGGGGTCTGCTGGCCTGGGTGTCCCGTGTGGGCGTTCTGCTGGTCCTAGTGTGCTGCTCTCTGTCCCTCCTCTATGTCATGACCTGCAGCCCCCACTCCGAGGACAACCTGGTGAGCCACGCCCTGCCACGCCCCAGGGTGGGGGTCGGGGTAGGAGGGGCAGTAGGGGGCACGGGAGCAGCTCAGAGCGGACCCACTGGGCGGAATGGATACCAAGCCATGCTTGCAGAGCGCGAGGAGCAACACAAGCTCCACATCGCTAGTTTAAAGAAACAGATTGCCCAGCTGAAGGAGGCGCTACAGGAGCGCAGCGAGCAGCTGAAAGGAGTTCAAGACTCCATGGAGCGGGCGGCAGGGGGAGGCCGGGATGGCCAGTCCCCAGGAGGAGGTATCCTCGGGGAGGGAGGCCAAGGGCCAGGAGCCGACAGGAGCCACGCTGACCTTCAGGAGTTCCTCCGCAGTCAGCTGGGCCGTTCGGAGGTCCACCAGGGGACTAGACTACCCAGTGAGTACGCCGTGGTGCCCTTCGAGAGCTTCACCCTGCAGAGGGTGTACCAGCTGGAGATGGGCCTGACGAGACACCCTGAGGAGAAGCCCGTGAGGAAGGACCGAAGGGACGAGCTGAGTGAAGCGCTGGAGACAGCCCTGCAGAGTCTCAACACCCCCCGCAACGGAGCAGACAAGGGCCACACCACCAAGGTCTACTCACCATCAGACTTCATAGAAGGTGAGTCACTAAGCTCCATACCAGAGCCAAACATAGTATGTATACAGCCATATGCTATGCATAAATGTATGTAATATCTTCATGGTTGAGTGCCTGTTGAACTATTGGAATATTGACATGGTTTTAATAAAAATGGAATCAAGTTGAACTCTAGAAAATAAACAAACAGCACAACAATGCCTCATTTCCAACACATTTCAAACAGAGAAACCCTGTTATTTCTATGATTTTGTTGTTTGGTGGCCATAATGACGAATGCTGAGAATCAGAGCAAAACAACAGAGGATCCTGCTGCTAGTGCTGAAGAGCCAAAGCCAGGATATCCGGCTAGTCTAGCATGATTTGGAGCAGGAAATGAGCACAGCTGCTTTCCATTCCGTGTGAAGCATCACTACAAGCTCAGAGAGAGGGGGGCTGTTTCCTTTTAAAGGTTAACATCTTTACTGGGGCCACGTCTGACTAATACCTACAGTGGGGAGAACAAGTATTTGATACACTGCCGATTTTGCAGGTTTTCCTACTTACAAAGCATGTAGAGGTCTGTAATTTTTATCGTAGGTAAACTTCAACTGTGAGAGACGGAATCTAAAACAAAAATCCAGAAAATCACATTGTATGATTTTTAAGTAATTAATTTACTTTTTATTGCATGACATAAGTATTTGATCACCTACCAACCAGTAAGAATTCCGGCTCTCACAGACCTGTTAGTTTTTCTTTAAGAAGCCCTCCTGTTCTCCACTCATTACCTGTATTAACTGCACCTGTTTGAACTCGTTACCTGTATAAAAGACACCTGTCCACACACTCAATCAAACAGACTCCAACCTCTCCACAATGGCCAAGACCAGAGAGCTGTGTAAGGACATCAGGGATAAAATTGTAGACCTGCACAAGGCTGGGATGGGCTACAGGACAATAGGCAAGCAGCTTGGTGAGAAGGCAACAACTGTTGGCGCAATTATTAGAAAATGGAAGAAGTTCAAGATGACGGTCAATCACCCTCGGTCTGGGGCTCCATGCAAGATCTCACCTCGTGGGGCATCAATGATCATGAGGAAGGTGAGGGATCAGCCCAGAACTACACGGCAGGACCTGGTCAATGACCTGAAGAGAGCTGGGACCACAGTCTCAAAGAAAACCATTAGTAACACACTGCGCCGTCATGGATTAAAATCCTGCAGCGCACACAAGGTTCCCCTGCTCAAGCCAACGCATGTCCAGGCCCGTCTGAAGTTGGCCAATGACCATCTGGATGATCAAGGGGAGGAATGGGAGAAGGTCACGTGGTCTGATGAGACAAAAATAGAGCTTTTTGATCTAAACTCCACTAGCCGTGTTTGGAGGAAGAAGAAGGATGAGTACAACCCCAAGAACACCATCCCAACCGTGAAGCATGGAGGTGGAAACATCATTCTTTGGGGATGCTTTTCTGCAAAGGGGACAGGACGACTGCACCGTATTGAGGGGAGGATGGATGGGGTCATGTATCGCGAGATCTTGGCCAACAACCTCCTTCCGTCAGTAAGAGCATTGAAGATGGGTCGTGGCTGGGTCTTCCAGCATGACAACGACCCGAAACACACAGCCAGTGCAAGTAAGGAGTGGCTCCGTAAGAAGCATGTCAAGGTCCTGGAGTGGCCTAGCCTGTCTCCAGACCTGAACCCAATAGAAAATCTTTGGAGGGAGCTGAAAGTCCGTATTGCCCAGCGACAGCCCCGAAACCTGAAGGATCTGGAGAAGGTCTGTATGGTGGAGTGGGCCAAAATCCCTGCTGCAGTGTGTGCAAACCTAGTCAAGACCTACAGGAAACTTATGATCTCTGTAATTGCAAACAAAGGTTTCTGTACCAAATATTAAGTTCTGCTTTTCTGATGTATCAAATACTTATGTCATGCAATAAAATGCAAATTAATTACTTAAAAATCATACAATGTGATTATCTGGATTTTTATTTTAGATTCCGTCTCTCACAGTTGAAGTGTACCTATGATAAAAATTACAGACCTCTACATGCTTTGTAAGTAGGAAAACCTGCAAAATCGGCAGTGTATCAAATACTTGTTCTCCCCACTGTACGTGTACCTGGGAGAGGGAAAGAGTTTGTTTGTGTGTGTGTGTGTGTGTGTGTGTGTGTGTGTGTGTGTGTGTGTGTGTGTGTGTGTGGCCTTACAGTCGACATGGGCATACCGAAAATATAGTGAAAACATCATGTCAGCCAGGAGTGTTTACGTAGCTCTTCCTTGAAAGACCTGTTCAGGTATCGCCTCTTAAAAACTCCCATAGGAAATATGCTTCCACCCTGTAGATAGCCAATTTGCTAATTAGTAATCCAAAAAGTGGTCTGTAGTTGGCTGTGTGTGTAGCCAGTAGCAAACAAACGACTATTGTTCAACAACAAAGATGAAAGCGGCAGGTAGCTTAGTGGTTAAGGGCGTAGTGCCAGTAACCGAAAGATTGCTGGTTCTAATCCCAGAGCCTACTAGGTGAAAAACCTTGAGCAAGGCACTTAACCCTAATTGCTCCTGTAAGTCGCTCTGGATAAGAGCGTCTGCTAAATGACTAAAATGTAAAATGTAATGTAGGCTAGTTAATGAACCATGTAGGCTAGTTAATGAACCATGTCGGCTAGTTAATGAACCATGTAGGCTAGTTAATGAACCGTGTAGGCTAGTTAATTAACCATGTAGGCTAGTTAATGAGCCGTGCAGGCTAGTTAATGAACCGTGTAGGCTAGTTAATGAACCGTGTAGGCTAGTTAATGAACTGGCAACTGTCTTTAGCTCAGCAGTTCTACTTCACCTGTCTTTTTAACCTAATTGTACCAGTGGACAAGTACATTTTCATTCACTCAGACAACTTGAAGCTTGTTGAGATGCTAACGATTACAAAGGGAGCATTATGAGCCCTGCCAATCCTCAGTTAGCGAGCCATGACTGAACACAATAAGTTAATACTGCCTGTTGGCTGTGCTGAATGGAGTTTTTCAGGAGCTGCTATGGGTGGATTTGCTCAGCTGTCATACAGAAAGAATGAGAGCGGGGCAGCGAGACAACAAGGAATGAAAGAGAGAGAGCGAGAGATCAAGACAGGGAAATGAAGGAGAGAGAGAGAGAGAGAGAGAGAGAGAGAGAGAGAGAGAGAGAGAGAGGATGAGAGTTAGAAAAAAACGAGTGGTATGCTATGTGAGTGTGATAAACATGTTTATGTGGTACAGTGCATGGAGCTAGGCTGTGGAGCCTCAGCCCGCCCTGTCCCCAGAGTGAAGAGACGTGGAGCTAGGCTGTGGAGCCTCAGCCCGCCCTGTCCCCAGAGTGAAGAGACGTGGAGCTAGGCTGTGGAGCCTCAGCCCGCCCTGTCCCCAGAGTGAAGAGACGTGGAGCTAGGCTGTGGAGCCTCAGCCCGCCCTGTCCCCAGAGTGAAGAGACGTGGAGCTAGGCTGTGGAGCCTCAGCCCGCCCTGTCCCCAGAGTGAAGAGACGTGGAGCTAGGCTGTGGAGCCTCAGCCCGCCCTGTCCCCAGAGTGAAGAGACGTGGAGCTAGGCTGTGGAGCCTCAGCCCGCCCTGTCCCCAGAGTGAAGAGACGTGGAGCTAGGCTGTGGAGCCTCAGCCCGCCCTGTCCCCAGAGTGAAGAGACGTGGAGCTAGGCTGTGGAGCCTCAGCCCACCTTGTCCCCAGAGTGAAGAGAAGAGGCTTCTATTTTATAAGGAAGTTAGTCTCACCACTATCAAACTGGGGATCACCAGCTATTCCTCTCTGCTTTTGCTGCTTCCTGTGTTTGTATCGATGTGGTTTGAGCAGGAGAGTACAGTAGCATACAGAATGAGGATTTTGATACTTTACTAGATTATACTGTTGTGTTGTTGCATGATTTCAAATATCCTGAGTTTATTCTTAAATGAAAAGTAGAATGTTTGAAATGGGAGCAAAGGACAGAATTTTTCTTAGATAATTTTATTTTCATGATGATGAATCTCACACTTTAGTTTGTAGTTCTCTAGTCCAATAATGTCTGTTGAAACTTGTCTTTGGAACGTTTGATTTTGACTTCAGAAAACAAGACGTTTTGACTGACAGTGTGCAGCTGTGAAGTGGAGACCACAGGGACAACAGAGTCTAATGTATTGTTGTTTAGTGATATGTCTGGGTACGTCTAACTACTATGAGAAGGTATAATCCAGTGTCAGTATGATCTCTATGCGTGACGGGTCTCCTTCAGCTGTCATAATGGCAGAGGGCCCAGGGCACTAGCCAGGAGCAGAGTGGGATGCGTGGGATGCTATCCCCTACAGAGACTTGAACTGCCCTGTCTGTCCTCTCTCCTTTCCCATGGCCACACAGCCAAGGCTATCCTTCTCTGTCAGAAAAAGCGTACAAATCCAGGCAGCAAAGTGGAGAAATGATTCTCCTGTTGACAGATTGTTGACAGTGCAAATGCAGTAGCGACGGACAGTCTGGCCGAGTTTGAGAGTGTTTGTGTACAAAGCAAGAAAGATTATCCCCACTGGACTACTGGACATCTATCCCATTATAACATTATTATTACAAACAAATAAACACATAGGCAAATAAACTGAATTGCAGTTCAACTGTGTCTACATGTATGTGTATTTACACTGAGTGGACAAAACATCTTTCCATGACATAGACTGACCAGGTGAATTCAGGTGAAAGCTATGATCCCTTCTTGATGTCACTTGTTAACTCCATTTCAATCAGTGTAGATGAAGGGGAGGAGACAGGTTAAAGAAGGATTTTAAAGCCTTGAGACAATTGAGACATGGATTGTGTATGTGTGCCATTCAGAGGGTGAATGGGCAAGACAAAAGATTGAAGTGCCTTTGAACGGGGTGTGGCAGTAGGTGCGAGGCGCAACGCTGCTGGGTGTTTCGCGCTCAACAGTTTCCCGTGTGTATCAAGAATGGTCCACCACCCAAAGGACATCCAGCCAACTTGACACAACTGTGGGAAGCATTGGAGTCAACATTGGCCGGCATCCCTGTGGAACGCTTTCGACACCTTGTAGAGTCCATGCCCCGACAAATTGAGGCTGTTCTGAGGGCAAAAGGGGGTGCAACTCAATATTAGGAAGGTGTGTGCATGCCTTTTCAAGTGTACGTGTGTGACACATGCCTACACGCATTCGTGGCCTAAACACACTCCTCTCCCTTCCCCAGGTATCACTCGGACGGAGAAAGACAAAGGTACTGTGTATGAGCTCACCTTCAAAGGGGACCAGAGACGTGAGTTCAGGAAGCTGGTTCTGTTCCGTCCCTTCGGGCCGCTGATGAAGGTGAAGAATGAGAGGGTGGACACGGCTAACGTCCCCATCAACATCATAGTGCCCCTCTCCCAACGGGCCGACAAGTTCAGACACTTCATGCACAACTTCAGGTACAGTGATAGCCACTCAGTTATTCATGCAGGTTATTGGCTCATTCGCCCCTCTCTCCTTCCTTGCAACTCTTCCCTGGGTTATTGCTGCAAATCAGTAGGTGTTCTCAGTCAACCATACTAAAGAATAAGGGTCAAACAAGGGTTAAGAAATAAAATGCATGTTCGATGTCCACTCGTATTAACTGTGATGCCATAACCGACAGCATATACTGTAGTTAACCATGTTTGACATGTCCAGTTTGTCACAGCAACAAGGATTCAAACTAAAGGAAGTAATTGCTGTGTTTTTACTCTGATAGCGACAATATGTCTCTCTCTCTCTTTGCAAGAGACGTTGATGGACTTTTTAGTTCCTGTGATTTGTTACACTCCTGCACAGCTGCTTATCAAGGCTTTGAGGTTTTTTAATGGCAAATCCTGCTTAGTAGCAGTCTTAAAACCAGCACATAAAACTCAGCGGGAACCTGTGATATACTGCAGTGGTGCTGGTCATGCTGTCCAAAGGCTTCCTGAGTCGCTGAGCAAACGCTTTGGTCTCATCCATATTTAATGTAGAAGGAGGAGGAGGTGTGTGTGGGGGGGGGGGGGGGTGTATGTGTGTGCAGTTTGTTCACGAAGAGAGGAGAGGAATGTTAGGAGGACTGACGTTCTTTCAGAAGCCGTGTGACACATTTACTGAGCACAGCGTATATAGGAATGACATGCACACAGATATGTGTACAGTGGGGAAAAAAAGTATTTAGTCAGCCACCAATTGTACAAGTTCTCCCACTTAAAAAGACGAGAGAGGACTGTAATTTTCATCATAGGTACACGTCAACTATGACAGACAAAATGATTTTTTTTCTCCAGAAAATCACATTGTAGGATTTTTTATGAATGTATTTGCAAATTATGGTGGAAAATAAGTATTTGGTCAATAACAAAAGTTTCTCAATACTTTGTTATATACCCTTTGTTGGCAATGACACAGGTCAAACGTTTTCTGTAAGTCTTCACAAGGTTTTCACACACTGTTGCTGGTATTTTGGCCCATTCCTCCATGCAGATCTCATCTAGAGCAGTGATGTTTTGGGGCTGTCACTGGGCAACACAGACTTTCAACTCCCTCCAAAGATTTTCTATGGGGTTGAGATCTGGAGACTGGCTAGGCCATTCCAGGACCTTGAAATGCTTCTTACGAAGCCACTCCTTCGTTGCCCGGGCGGTGTGTTTGGGATCATTGTCATGCTGAAAGACCCAGCCACGTTTCATCTTCAATGTCCTTGCTGATGGAAGGAGGTTTTCACTCAAAATCTCACGATTCATTCTTTCCTTTACACGGATCAGTCGTCCTGGTCCCTTTGCAGAAAAACAGCCCCAAAGCATGATGTTTCCACCCCCATGCTTCACAGTAGGTATGGTGTTCTTTGGATGCAACTCAGCATTCTTTGTCCTCCAAACACGACGAGTTGAGTTTTTACCAAAAAGTTATATTTTGGTTTCATCTGACCGTATGACATTCTCCCAATCCTCTTCTGGATCATCCAAATTCACTCTAGCAAACTTCAGACGGGCCTGGACATGTACTGGCTTAAGCAGGGGGACACGTCTGGCACTGCAGGATTTGAGTCTCTGGCGGCGTAGTGTGTTACTGATGGTAGGCTTTGTTACTTTGGTCCCAGCTCTCTGCAGGTCATTCACTAGGTCCCCCCGTGTGGTTCTGGGATTTTTGCTCACCGTTCTTGTGATAATTTTGACCCCACGGGGTGAGATCTTGCGTGGAGCCCCAGATCGAGGGAGATTATCAGTGGTCTTGTATGTCTTCCATTTCCTAATAATTGCTCCCACAGTTGATTTCTTCAAACCAAGCTGCTTACCTATTGCAGATTCAGTCTTCCCAGCCTGGTGCAGGTCTACAATTTTGTTTCTGGTGTCCTTTTGACAGCTCTTTGGTCTTGGCCATAGTGGAGTTTGGAGTGTGACTGTTTGAGGTTGTGGACAGGTGTCTTTTATACTGATAACAAGTTCAAACAGGTGCCATTAATACAGGTAACGAGTGGAGGACAGAGGAGCCTCTTAAATAAGAAGTTACAGGTCTGTGAGAGACAGAAATCTTGCTTGTTTGTAGGTGACCAAATACTTATTTTCCACCATAATTTGCAAATAAATTCATTAAAAATCCTACAATGTGATTTTCTGGATTTTTTTCTCTCAATTTGTCTGTCATAGTTGACGTGTACCTATGATGAATCTTTTTAAGTGGGAGAACTTGCACAATTGGTGGCTGACTAAATAATTTTTTTCCCCACTGTATGTCTACTGTATGCACATGCAAGCAAACACCACACACACACACACACACACACACACACACACACACACACACACAGACAGACTGATATATTATGTATGACAGGCAATTAATCAAAGCTTCAATAGCTAAACTTTCCCAGCCATATATTCATAATAACTATTCATTTCAATATCAAGACCAGGCAACATACACTAAACAAAACAACAACACTTTATTCCAACAATCCCTGCATCTACTAACCTTCTTCTGTTTAAATGGCAAAGGAAGGCCAATCCGCAACATCTAAGACGACAAGGGTTGGTTTACATTATTCATGTCTGTCCAATATTGTCTGCTGCAGGTGTGATCAGATTAGACCTGGAGGGATTTAAGAGCAGTAATGGAGACAGGGAACTAACTACATGTAGTTCAACTAGTAATATATTACATTTTGCTGTAGCTTGGTGGTAGTTGAACTACATTCAAATCTAGGTAGTTTTTAGTAGTTAATTCGTTTTTTTGCCATGTTGTGGTGTAGCTAACTACTGGAACTACACACTACTTTTTTCCAAATAGAACTCGACAAATAGTTTTTGTGATTAATAGGCTAAATTACACATTACGTTAACATCTGACTCTAGAGTGATTTATACTTGCAATTTGTAGTCTATGATATTTCAGATTTACATATGGTAATTTTTCACAAAGTAATTTGGATGTAGTGAACTACTTTTTCAAAGTAACTTTAGTTAAGTAAACTAGATGTTTATTCAGGGAAGCTTTAGTGTAGCTTAACTTCTTCCAGTGTGAAGTAATTGGTAGCTTGGTAAACTATATTTTCAGAGTAGCGTCCCCGAACACTGTTTGAGAGACTGAATGAGGATTAGTCTTCCTAATGTGTATGGTGAGGAGAGGAGAGGAGGAGGAGAGGTGAGGAGGAGGAGACGAGGAGAGGTGAGGTGAGGAGAAGAGGAGGAGGAAGAGGAGGAGATGAAGAGGTGAGGAGGAGAGATGAGGAGGAGGAGGAGGAGAGGTGAGGAGTAGGAGGAGGAGGAGAGATGAGGAGTAGGAGGAGGAGGAGAGATGAGGAGGAGAGGTGAGGTGAGGAGAGGAGGAGAGAGGAGAAGAGAGGAGAGGAGGAGGAGAGATGAAGTGAGGTCTGGAGAAGGAGATGAAAGGAAGAGGAGGAGGAGAGGTGAGGAGGAGGAGAGGTGAGGCGGAGGAGGAGGAGGAGAGGAGGAGAGAGGAGGAGAGATGAGGAGGAGGAGTAGGAGGAGGAGAGGTGAGGAGGAGGAGGAGAGGTGAGGAGGAGAAGGAGGAGGAGGACTAGGAGGAGGAAGAGAGGTGAGGAGAAGGACTAGGAGGAGGAGGAGGAGGAGAGATGAGGTGAGGAGAGGAGGAGAGAGGAGGAGAGGTGAGGAGGAGGAGGAGAGATGAGGAGGAGGAGGAGAGGTGAAGAGGAGGAGGAGCTGCCCACCTGCTCCTCTGCATTAGTGTGGTACATTTGGCGTGTCTCCATCAGAATGTCTGGTGCTAGAGTTCTGGAATGTCACACCAGGGCTGGAGATGGATCACTCCTCGGGGATTCTGTCTGATACCATAGCAAATGTACATTATACATAACATAAAGTACATGTACCTGGCCTTAAGGGTACTCTCTGATTTGGCTGTAACCCCCTTTGAACTGACCTCTGTTACATTTTACATTACATTTTAGTCATTTAGCAGATGCTCTTATCCAGAGCAACTTACAGTTAGTGCATACATTTTCATACAGGCCCCCCGTGGGAAACGAACCCACAACCCTGGCGTTGCAAGCGCCATGCTCTACCAACTGAGCTACAGGGGACTCTGTTATAAAAACAGTATAAGTTTTCTTTCGAATACTTTGAACATTTGGTTTCAGGCTACCTTCAGTGCCAAGTGGGCAGGGTTTGCACTTTGGGGATTATTCCATCGCGCCAGGCAGGCTTCATCAAACGCAGCTAAAGTCTCTGAAAGAAAACAAATGATATGAAACCTGTTACCCTCTCTGGGTTGTATAATAAGTCCTCCGCTTTGTGTGATGAATTGTTTCTTCATCTGTGTTTGTTTGTTGTTGCAGAGAGGTGTGTGTGCGGCAGGATGGGCGTGTCCACCTAACAGTTGTATACTTTGGGAAGGACCAAATGAATGAAGTCAGGAGCACACTGGAGAACACATCTAGGTGGGTGGACACACACAAACACTCTCTCTCTCTCTCTCTCTCTCTCTCTCTCTCTCTCTCTCTCTCTCTCTCTCTCTCTCTCTCTCTCTCTCTCTCTCTCTCTCTCTCTCTCTCTCTCTCTCTCTCTCTCTCAAGCAACTCAGAAACCTCAGCCCTGTCTGATGAATAATTACAGGTCCAGGGTCAGTTTGAGATGATGTTGTCGGTGAGATTAGTTCACATGGTACTCTGGTACTGTGCTGATTGTCTGGCAGGTTGCCTTGGAGATGCTTTAGCCCAGGGGTGTCAAACTCATTTTAGCTCAGGGGCCACATGGAGGAAAATCTATTCCCAAGTGGGCCGGACCGGAAAGCCGTAATAAATATCGCGGGCAAAACAAAGTAGCTCATTGGCTGCACGTGCTTGACCTACTTGCTCTGCCCCGGTATAAACAGTTTGCTTGCTTAACACAATTGCTATTGCGCCATCCAGTGGACGCAATTGGAACAGCAGTTTATTTTATTGAAAAATTGCAGCGCATTTTTATACTTTACATTTTTTATTTTTTATTTTTCTCGCGGGCCGGATTAAACCCGTTTGCGGGCCTGACACCCCTGCTTTAGCCTATGATACCCCTGGCCGGATGGTTTGCAGGGGTAGAAAGATAAAGAAGGAGAGAGAGAGGGGATAAAAGAGAGAGAGAGAGTTACAAACCTCATGCTGGGCTTTGAGCTGG